CCCAAAAAAACAAAATTGATACATTCTTTTTATAATGTCCACGTGGCCATCCCTAGTTCATCAGATTGATCGAACAGCATGCTTCCTTTTGACCGCATTCAACGCTTTGGCCGGCTCTTCCAACCCCTGGCGACTGGCGTCGCATTGCCATTTGAAGTTGTCGGCAAAAGCATCCTGTGGGGACCAGTTAGAGGTTTTAATGGTTTGCCTGTTAAATAATAAATATCCCCTGTTATAAATATAATAATTAATTAATTTGAATAAATTTAAAAAATAACTTAATTTAGTTATTTATAATAAATATATATATTTTTTAATATTCTTACTAATTAAGTGTATTGACTAAAACTATCATTATTATAAGGACTAACTTAAAAAATATATAAATATGAAGGATAAAATGAATTAGAATCTTATATTTAAAATCAAAATAAAAATCAAATAAAGATTTATATTGTGAACATAAAGTAGTACTTAATTCATAGTCCACAGATAAGAGTACAAAAATTTAATTTATACGAATTTAAGTCTTAATTCAGTCGGGACATGTAAAGTTTGTTAAAAAGTTATTACTCTCATTTCATTTACAAGACTCAGAGAGATTTTTTTTATATATTTATAAGTGATATCATTAATTTTTTATATAAATATATATTTTTATTTTTAATTTATTGTTTATAGACCTTGTTCTTTAAAGCAGAGTGCGTATCAAATATACATGAAATAAAAAAATGTTAAATTTCAAAACATATTTGAAAATATTTAAAATTTTCTTAGTTTCACTAAAACTTAGAAGAGTGATTAACAAGATAATCAAGAGAAATTATGGCGTTATAAATAGTAGTAAAGTGGTTGCTTGGCATTATTTATATAATATTTATAAACATAGTCAATGTAACTCGAGACAAAATTTTCTTATATATTGGTCTTGTACTTTGCAAATGTATTTTAAAATGACCTGAAATAAACTCCCCGATCAATTCACAGTGATGTGCATGAATAAACAGCAGAGAATAAACCAAAAAACGACAATGCCTATATTTTAAGTTTAGATTTGATTTCTCATAACTACTCCACCAATAATTGAGAATCGTAACCATGTGCGCTTCCTAGCGCACCTAATCTCTCATGCCGAATAAAAATGCACGGGAAATGTATCTAGACAGGTTTGCTCCTGATTAGGAACGTTAAATAATCTATTATATTCCCAAAATGTTCTTAATTTTTTAAAAAAATACTGCTCTCAGTTTCATATATTCTCGAAATCTAAAATTAACAGGTATTGTGAAAGGAAACAAAATAGAGGAATACTATACTACCAAAAAAAAAATAGAGGAATACTATGGAATGAGAATGTTACATTTAGACTAAAGAGGCTGGGTCTAACAGAAGGAGTTAATATCTCACAACGTGTAAATTAAAATTAGAATCTTTACTGAGAGAAGTATTCATATTTAGTATCTAATTGTATCTCGAATATGATTGTTTTTAATAAAAAAAATATTTATGTTTTAGAAGAAGAAGGGGAAAAAAAAAATTAGCGGTAGAGGAGTATAAGTGGACAGGGGTGGATGGAGCTTTAATGAGTGATGAATTATTGGGTGGGCCGTGCTGCATGTGAATCTGCCGTGGGTAACAAGCAAGCATTCCAGGACAGCTCTGTGGGGAACAATAAACACCCAACTCGTACCCCCAAATCCAATATATGGCAGCGGTTAATTCAAAGACAGGATCGGAGAATTGGTTGTGTCATAAAATCTATGAAGATATTTTTCTCGTTATTGTTTTCTTCCATCATTTTAATAAAACATTTTTAACTGATTTACGTGACTTGAACAATCAGTTAGATTCAATAAAAATAATAAACATATATATTTTTAGAGAAGTGTAGTTGGATGAATCAAATAATGGTGGGCATAATTTTGAGATTAAAAACTTTTTAAAGTTGAAGGAGCTTATTCTAATTTTTACTTTTTGTCTTTTTATTAAAATATAAATCATACTATATTTGGTCCTTGATATAACGATTAGCTTAACATTCAATTTTATTCTCAGACCTTGATCCAATTTTTTTTCATATTTATTTATTTTTTAAGAAATTTTTGTAATAGCTGCATATGTTAAATGTTTCATCAAATTATAGTTATAACTAATACACATTATTAGTAAGAATATTTTAAGAAAGACAATACTCCTGGAGTATCTATTTATTATAAATAACTAATGTAATTAATTTTTTAATTTACTTAAATTAATCAGTTAGTTTTTATATTACACTACCTACCTCTGGTCCTTATTAGAAGAGCTAGTTTACTTTTTAATTTGATTCTAAATATAATAACAGAATTTATTTTATCTCTCATATTTATTTATTTTTTTAAAGTAGTCCTTTTGATTTTGCCATTGATAAAAACATCTTTTCATATATACCATATCTTATATTTAAAATTAAATTAAACCCTCCAAAAAGTATAAATTACACATGTTAAATATTTAATCAAATGGTAGTTTTAACTAATATTATTAGGTAGGTTAGTGAATCTGATCCTTAATATAAAAGCTAATTGACTAATTGAAACAGGTTAAAGAAGTTTGTTAAATTAGTTGTTTGTAATACATTGATGTTTTTCTTAAAATATCTTTACTAATCAAATGTATTAGTTATAACTACTATTATTACAAGAATTATCTTAGAAAAAAGTGGATAAATATGAGAGACAAAGTAGATTGAAGTTTTATATTTAAGATCAAAATAAAAATCAAACAAAATTTTATACTAAAGATTGAATATAGTATTTTAAGAAGGATAACATATATTTATTATAAATAATTAACTTAATTTTTTTTAATTTATTCAAATTAATCCGTTAACATTTATATTAAAAATCACAAGCAGTACAATCACATGGCAACGACTCTGTGGGCGGGGAAGTTCAGTGCAAGGGAAGGGATAGTACCTTTTGTTTCTAGTGGCAAGAGAACAAAGGCCGAAGCAGCCACGCAACAGAAAGAGGAAGGCGAGAGGAAGGAGAGATGGCCTGATGGGCAACTGGGGTTGGCCAGATCCAGGTTGTACCCACAACACATCCCGACTTGTCTTACGTTATAAACCGCCACCTCTCCCGAATGTATTTTATGTCCCAATTAAACCAACCCCTTTCTCGTCATTTCCTGTCCATCGATTCTTGGTATATTCTTTTCTTCCACTCCTTTGCAAGACCCAACGCGGATCCATCTCGTGACCACCTACTTACGACCAAACGCCGTTATACTACAAGGCTGTTGGCATACGTTTTAAAAAAAAAATTTTGATATCGTTTTTTCAGGTAGAGTTAGTTTTCAAGCATACTTTTATTGAATACAATGTATCAGACACTAAATATGGTGAGCGGGGATTCCGACTTTAATTTATCACATGATGACAAACTAATATTTTTTTGTTAGATCCATTCCCTATTGCCTGTTATCTTCAATTTTGTTTTGATAAAATTCTTGTGTGTTACCTCTAATCCTTAATACAAGAGTTAATTTGATTCGATTAAAAAATTAGTTAAATTAGTTATTTGCAATAAATATATATTGTTTTTTTCTAAATTATATTTACTAATCATATGTACTGCCTCTGGTCCTAATTATAAGAGCTGGTTGACTAATTTAAGAAGATTAAGAAAATAAGTTAAGTTAGTTATTTGTAGTAAATAGGTATTGTCTTTCCTAAAATATTCTTACTAATCAAGTATGTTGGCTAAAATTACAACAATTAGAAGCACTATCTTTAAAAAAAAAGTATAAATATGAGAAACAAAATTGATTGGAATATTATATTAGGACCAAAATAAAAACCAAACAATCTTATATTAAGACTAGAGGTAGTATTAACTAGAACTATCATTTGATATAACCCTTCTCATAGAAATGGAGGGAAGGGGAGGGGAATTTTTTTTTTATGAGCTCAATTTAAAAAATGTGAAAAAATAAGATTATAAAATTCTAATAAAAAATGTAAAAAAAAGAATAATAAAAATTAATTAAAAACTTTTATTCTATTTTAATAATTAAATCATCATAAAAATTTTTCTTATTCTCTCATTATTTCTCTTATATTAAGGACTCTTAACATATATAACTATTATAAAACTAGTTAAAAAATCAGATAAATATAAAAAATAAAATTTAAAATCTTATATTTAAAATTAAGTTAAATATAAAATTAGTTTTTATATAAAAATGAGAGGCAGTAATTTAGGCAGTAATTTAAACTGTTTATGGTCCTCAAGGTGCAGTTTAAGGCTGTGTTTGGGTGATACCCCAAACCATGGTTTGGAAAATAAATCACCCAAACACCTACCCAAAAACTAAACCATGGTTTTGGAAAAAGCAAAAATTTTTTGCTTTTGGAGAAAAAAGGGAGAGTGTGAGAGCCTATAGGATATGTATCTTGTTATTTTTTTTATAAACATATTTAATCTTATATTTCATAAATATATATACATATTAATTATTTATTAATTATATTATCTTATGTATATTAATTATGTTAATCAAAAATATATTATTAACAATTTTATTCCTTCAAATTAAAATATATCATAAAATCTATTTTTTCTGTAATTATTATATTAACTTATGTTTTTTTTATAATTTGTATATATAAAAAGTGCTTCTGATAACAACTATCCAAACACTCTATTTCTCAAAATCACTTTTTATAAAATCTATTCTTTCCAGAATCTATTCTTCCCGGAATCTATTCTCCAGAATCATTTTTCCAAATCACGGTTTGATTTCACCTAAACACAACCTAAGCAGGGCGTTCCAAATACTAGTAAGCCACGCCAGTTTTTTATGCAAATACAAAACTGTCCCCGACTTTTTAGGAAAAGGGTCTGATTTTTTTAGGTTCCAGTCTCCGTCCAAATTGCCAAGGCCAATAAAATATTCGCGCGCCTATATATAGAGATAATACGCGCACCTCCGGATTTTTGAGAGTATTACGTAATCGTTGATTGCTAGACGTGCCGGTGGGATCTGTCTGGAGAGAGAGCGTGTGTGGTTTTGTGATTGTGGAGGGGACGGAAGAGAGATCGAGAGAGCGAGAGGCATTGCCTTTGATCTATGCAAGCGACGATCGACGCGTCCATTTTCCGGCGGTATTTCGTGGAGATAGTTTGATAGTCACCCTTCCTTATGAGCTGGTTTGATAACCTCAGTTTTTCGTCGAATCTCAGCCGCTTCATTGCCGGCATCATCATCTTGATCTTTTATCATTCGTTTCAATTGGTTTCTAATTTCTTGACTCCTATACACCCTTCAAATTTTCAATCTAATCGCCGTTGATCCTCCTACCTTCCTGTTAAGATCTTCTGTTCCCTTCATTCCCCTGACTGTTGTGACGCCCGTGATCTGTTTCTCATGGACCCAAAAGATTTATTCCCCTCCAATTTGCTTGATGGTAAGTATACTGTTATGTTTTTAAAACCACGTGGTTTTCTGTTCATGCATTATGTATTTTGGATCAATTAACTTACCGTGTGCTTTACTTATTTCAGTTTTTATATTTATCCTTTGGATGACAATTTTAGATTCTTCTGTATTTCTTGTTCTCCCGGAGGTTGATAAGGATTAAGGAACTAGCTTTTTTTTGCCCCCGTTATGTGAAATATAAAATCAGAGGGAACTAGCTCATGATACAGGGTAGATTTTTCATTTTTGTAATAAAAATGACATTTGACCGGGCATCAGAGAGAGTAACTGGACTGTTTGTTTGGTTCATTCCCGTAATATCTGAAAAGTGAAAGTTTTGTGTCCCTTCTGATTATGTTGTCAAATGACCAGGCACTATTGCCTCACACATCGAGAGGCAACGCAGGGCACCTCCTTCTGTTATTGTTATTGGTGCTGGAATATCGGGAATTGCTGCTGCACGTAGTCTCTATGATGCTTCTTTCAAGGTGTCATATCACTATTCTCAAACTCCATCTTTGTTTACTGGTTCCGATTTCTGCAAGTAGGTCAGAGGAAAATTTTCTCTAAGCTCATTCTCATCATTTCTTCAGGTGACTGTACTGGAGTCTCGGGATAGGCTTGGTGGCCGTATCCATACAGATTACTCATTTGGTTGTCCAGTGGATATGGGAGCCTCATGGTAAGTTTAATTTCTTTCATTATAATTGTGATTGCTATTTCTTTCGTTGCAGTCAGTCAAAACCTTGTTTTGTTGATGAAAGGTGAACAGGTTGCATGGAAGCTTTATCATATTCTATTATTTAGTTAGTTATTTCTTGATCATTTGCCAGGTTACATGGAGTTTGCAATGAGAATCCCCTGGCTCCATTGATACGTTCTCTCGGACTTTCGTTATATCGTACCAGTGGTGATAACTCTGTCTTATATGACCATGATTTGGAAAGGTAATAATTAATAATTTACATCCTCATATTTCTGATGATAGTCAAGATTGATATCTTCAAAGTTTTATGGTGCAATCTCAATTTAAGAGTTAAGAGCAATAGTGTTTCTCTTACAGCTGCGAGCTTGATTCTGAATCTGAACTAATTGTTCTGGATTCAGAAGAGTTTCATATTAGGTTGGTAATATATTTCTTTCTTTTCTTGACGGAATATAAACATTGATGCTAGTGCAAAATTTTAGGTTATTGGCCTCTATATAGTGCTTGTGGAAATTCGTCTTTGTAAATATTGTTTTATTACTGAGAACTCGCCAATGAATATATCTCCTCTGTCTCTTTTCTTTTAAACTTTTTGCTATGCCCCTAATTTATGTCATCTATTATTGCCATAATTATTTCTTTTAATTCATGATTAATGTTAGTGAAAGATGAGAGCATGCTTTAAAAGTAGTAGTTAACGTTGTCTTCAACATTTAAAACAACAAACAAATGGAAACTCAAATATTTGATGTTTATATCTTTCAATGTAGGTTAACTATACAATTGTTATTTAAATTAAAGACTTGAATAAATGAAGTTAGGTCACTTCAAATTCTGGAAGACCTCCGTAGCTTCTGCATTTCTAATAATAATGATTGATAAAGAGTGATTGCATTTTGTCTTTGCAGTTATACGCTGTTTAATGTAAATGGCCATCAAGTTCCTCAACATATAGTCGTTGAAGTTGGGGAAACTTTCAAGAGAATCCTAGCTGAGGTAAGATCTCTGCAGCATATTTCATAACAAAAGCAGCTATGATTATTTAAATGTGGAACTCATTGGCCTTTTGTTGACATCTCCAGACGGGAAAGGTGAGGGATGAGCATCCTGATGACATGTCAGTCCTTGAAGCAATTTCTATTGTGTTGGATAGGCATCCTGAATTAAGGTATTGAACTGATTATAGATAATTACATAATTGTATACGTACTTGCAATTTCAGTATATCATGTTTTATGACGAAGTATTCTGCAGGCAACAAGGACTTGCCCATGAAGTGCTGCAATGGTATATATGCAGAATGGAAGCTTGGTTTGCTGCTGATGCAGATATGATATCACTTAAAACCTGGGATCAGGCAAGTGCCGTTATATTATTTGAAGGCTAAATGTGATTATTGTTCTTATTCTTCTGTCCAGACCCCTTTTCCCCTTTTGATTTTGTTCATAACTGTAAATTTAAAGAACCCGGTCCTTTGTTAAATTGTCGTTGATTTAAACCCCTTGGTAACTGGCTATAATGGCACGGAGCTTTACCACTCGTGTGTTTCAAATAAGTAGAATCGAAGAATATTCCCTTTTCATATATTATTTTAAAACATTCCAATACCTTCTATATTCAAACATAGAAAAGGAAAAATTTTGCTAATTTAGCATAATCTAATATTGAAATGAATACTTATATTGTCAGATTACTGATTATTCTGCAGGAGCATGTCCTCTCTGGTGGTCATGGACTTATGGTGCAAGGATACGATCCTGTTATAAAATCTCTTGCAAAAGATATTGACATACGGTTGAACCATAGGTATGCTTATACAATTTACAACATAGCTGCACGACTATATTGTCGCCATTTATGACTCCTTGCTATTGACAATAGATAAAGAAAAGGAAACTATTACTGATGACATGTATCCACTTGGCTGTAAATTGAGTCTGCTACTTTTTTGTGGCACCCACTTTATGATTTGAACACATAGAAATGTGGCTTAATGGAATTACTGTTTTCATGTTTCTGGTAGTAGAATACTTACACTCATTTTCTTTTGCATAAACCCATATGATTTTGATCATTCTGTTAAAACTAGGGTAACTAAGATATCCAATGGATACAACAAGGTGATGGTCACGGTTGAAGATGGCAGGAATTTTGTTGCTGATGCTGTTATTGTAACAGTTCCTCTTGGAATCCTCAAAGCCAATTTGATTGAATTTGAACCAAGACTGCCTGATTGGAAGGTTGCTGCAATTTCAGATCTTGGTGTGGGTAATGAAAATAAAATCGCCCTAAGATTTGACAAGGTGTTTTGGCCAAATGTAGAGCTCATGGGTGTTGTTGCTCCCACTTCTTATGCTTGTGGCTATTTTCTCAATCTCCATAAAGCAACAGGCCATCCGATTCTGGTCTATATGGCAGCTGGCAGATTTGCTTCGGACCTTGAAAAGCTAACTGATGAGGCAGCTGCAAATTTTGTGATGCAACAACTCAAAAAGATGTTTCCCGATGCTTCTGAGCCGGTAAGTGCTTTTCTCATGTAGTTCGCATGATACTCTTTTGGAATATTTTTGGATGAAGGAGGTCAAAAGAAAAGAAAAGGGCAGGAAATGTTAATTTTAACATGTGCCTGATTTAGATTGACCTCCAAATTTTCTTTTTTTTTTCGCTCCATCTTCGTTCTTTTCAATCCCAAAGGTATTTTTGGGAGTTGATAGGAGGACAACGGAAGGAAAAGAATCAAAAGAAAATGGAAATGATCGGTCAAATAATGATTTTTCTTTAGTTAGAAACTTGTAAAATTTTTCAAATGGGCTGAATTAATTACAAATCTTTCATTATCCTTTCATTCTTAATGACTCCCAAACAAGCAATTAATGTCAAAAGAAGCTTCTCTTCCATTTCTTTCCTCTCCTATAGACTCTCGAAACACCTCTACATGCAGGAGCCCGACTTCATGGTTTTGTTGGATTATTGCAGGTTCAGTATCTTGTGTCCCACTGGGGGACAGACCCAAATACACTTGGCTGTTACTCGTATGACTTAGTTGGAAAGCCTGATGATGTGTATGACCGGCTTCGTGCACCTGTAGGGAATCTATTCTTTGGTGGGGAAGCGGTGAGCTTGGATCACCAAGGATCTGTGCATGGAGCCTACTCTGCTGGAGTCATGGCTGCTGATAATTGCCAGAGATATCTCTTGGCCAAGCAAGGCCACTTGACGGAGAAGCTGCCTCTAGTTACTAGCGTTAGGCATGAAATGCTTGAAACTGCTATCCCCCTTCAGATCTCTAGGATGTAACTTTCCCTCACTATGGAACTTCGACAAATGAAAGTGCACTTCCTTGGGTTGTTCTTAATCACTACCAACTATTTCCAGATGACAGTGTTGTAGTGCCAAGAATCTGACAAGGAGTTGCTCCCTTTTAAGTAACAGTATCAGCTTTCCAAGGAGTTATGATAAATTTAATTAATAAAGTTCCTCTCTTTTAAGCAACAGTCTCAGCTTTCCAAAGAGTTACGATAAATTTAATTAATAAAGTGTGGGCAAACCAAATGGTTTCGTAGGCGTGGAAGCAGTCATTAAAAGTGATCTATAACGTTGATGTTTTTATTCTTCTTTGGAATGAATTCTTTACTTTTATAAATTGGAATTAATTTATTGGTTTTGGAATTACATTCTATCTCTTCAAATGGTATTTCAATGACTGCACTAATAAGCTTTCAAATGTAATACATTCTTATAAAACTGAGAAATGTATCTAATCTAAATCAAGCTAAATGAGATCTCTCCGTCTCTCCTTTTAATTTCTCCCTTGCTTGAAAGATCATTTTTTGAGTTTGCGATCAATAGAAGTTGATTTTGACTTTTGAGTATTAAACGTCCTTCTAACTGTAACTTCAAAAATGCTACTGGCGTCACTTTAGAAAAATTTGCTTTCTAGGAATCACGGACTAAAGGAGATTTTTCCTTATTAAAGAAAAAGAGGGAGAGCATAAGTTGATATTGAAAGGACAAGATTCAAGGACATCATTTGTTCACACCTCTTTGTGAGACATTAAATATAACATGTAATTAAAAAAATTTACTTTTGATGATAATTAGAATACTTTTTGTTGTCCTTGACAGTGAGATCACAACAATCAAAGCCTGTGCAAGTAAAAATTAAGGACAGCATTAGAATCTTAATCTTTTTTGTCCGCCCTTTAGTCACAGAAGCCATTCGTTGTCCCGCTAAGAGTGGCTGAAAGATATTATAAAACTCAATGTCTTGGTGCCTTAGATTTGACTGCAAAATCCATGATTACTCTCCATGGATGGAAAAACGGTGAGCCAAAATTAGTTTAATATTACCTCTTCTCATTAACATAAGATCTGGTTGATTAATTTAGAGAGATTAAAAAAATTAGTTAAACTAATTATTTGTAATAAATGTATATTTTCTTTATCAAAAACATCCTTGTTAATTATGTCATTCATGTGTATCTGAATTTCTCATTGATAGTAACTCCTTGATATATGTAATTATTATAAGGATTATTTGAGGACAAATCAGATAAATATTGAAAAGAAGGTGGATTGGGAGTCTTATATTTAAAACTAAATTAAATTTCAAACTAGTTTTTATATTAAGAACAAGAGGTAGTAGTACTTAATAGTTTTGAGCATATCTTAGAGGCCTTTTTAAAAAGATATTATTATACTTCTTCTGATTCTAAATATAATAGCTAGTTAATAATTGAATTTGGTTCTAAATATAATATCTCAATTTACCTTGTCTCTCATATTTATTTATTTATTTTTAAAATAATCCCTATGATGATTGTACATATTAAAATATTTTTATTTTAGTACACAAGAATACTTTAGAGAATATAACACTTATTTATTATGAATAACTAATTTAATTAATCTTTTTAATATTGCTCAATGTCTTGTTACATATATTTGACAGCAAAATCTTTCTAAATCATATCTTCCCGACTGAGTCAAACCAAACTGGTGTTGGTCCAGGTTGGCTCAACATGAGAAGGCTTTTTTCCCCCCCGGGGGGGAAGGAAAGAAAGAGAAAGATTTAAAGAAATTAATTTTATCAATTAATCAAAAGCATGGTATTATCTTCAAACATAATATGAAGATCACACATTATAGGAAACAAACATAATCAAAAAATTTAATAATTATGCGCTAGTGTATATAATATTTCGATGCATAAAATACATAAAGAAAAATAATCCTGTAAAATCAATCAATGTTCATAATTTTTTTTTTAAAAAGAAGATTAAAATTTTTAAAATAGATATCAACCAAAGTTTGCCAACTGTCGAAGCTCGTGTTTGATTCTAAGCAGGCCCCGCTTGGCCCATATTTGGACATTTTTTGAGGATCCTGCGGCTTGGGGCGGCTTTCCCCGGAATCAGATCTTCTGAGAAGCAATTTTTCAGCGTCCCTCAGCGTCCTAAAATCCAATCCGTTTAAATGATCTAAAAGCTCATATTGGGCCAAGTCATCGAGCCTTAAAATTGAATGTCTCATCAGTGCGTCTGGTCCCACAAACACTGGCAGTGCCGTCTTCAACCTTGGCCTTCTCTCTCTTCCCATCTTCCGATCCCCGCCCACTTGTTGGTAAACAACCATCTTGTGCATCGCCATGCTCAATCTCACGCCTCTATTTCTCACAACTTATCCTTCTCCCCTTCCTATATCAAGACTTTAATTCCCTGCAACACAGGGCGTTGGCCAATCTTCTCTATGGCGACATTTCAAGAGCCACCGCGAGTGAAGCCTTGCTCTGAATTCGGCTGTGGGTCAAGTCCCTGTCTCTTAACTCTCACTGAACAACATAGAAACATTCTACTCTTCTTCTTTCGATCCTAAATATAAAACCTTTATACCAGTATATATAAAGGTCTTGTATTTAGTACCGGAGTATTCTAATGTAACAAGAAAAATAGAAACATTCTGACATGAATTCATCTCAATTATATAGTGAGGATTTGCCATAATTGGCGTTAGTCCATCAACACTCTGTGATGGGTCATGAATTCACGCGTCAAATTATACGCCATGACACTGCTGGAAAATCTCGGTACTGTCTTATGCTGATGTTATCAACTGTATTCATATATAGATTAGGAGTTAACTTACATAAGCTGATCCGGCCAAAACAAATTTACATAAGCTGAAAGCTGAGTGGAAGGAAAAAAAAAGAAATATTGAGAATGAAGTTTGGTTTACAGATGTGAAAAGGTCCCTTGCAAGGATAATACGAACAACAATTCACTCTCAAAGAATCAGGTCTTAGCACAAAACTTGTCTGTAGGATACCTACGTACAGGACTTGAGGGGTCACCAAATGTAGAAACACTGCATTTGTATGGTTCTCTTTCACTAGCCAAATTTGACCCTCAACAAAAGTCATGTTTCTGATATAGAAACCCTATAGTCTCCCACATGCCGTGGTTTCATCTTCCCATCATGTTATGTATTATGGGCAATGCAAATAATTCAGGGGATGCTTCAACTCAATGAGAAATTCATAAGAAAGCTGTATAGTTCATGTGGCTACTGAGGAGACAGAAGCCGAAAGGTGGGGGGGTCGGAAGAGGAGAGAGAAGCAGAAGGTTGAAGACGCACTGCCAGAGTTTGTGGGAGCAGACAGCTTGATGACTTGGCCCAATGTAGGCTTTTAGATCATCTAAATGGACTGGGTTTTAGGACGCTGAGGGACGCTGAAAAAATTGCTTCTGAGAAGATCCGGTTCCGGCTTTCCCCCAACTTTCCTGTTATCTCTCAGCATCTCCGCAAATGACAACGGGATCTCGGCCTAACCCTGCGATGTTGTTCCTATTACATTATGTTGTCACGTTCCGATCATAGCTTTTCTTATTATTTAGAGAAAATTAGAGAGAATGGTAATAGAAAGTGATATTTACAGAAAATGATCATAAAAATTAAAATTATTTAAAATGACTAAATATTCAAATATAAATTTAAAGGTATCATATTCTCCTTATCCAAACCTCCTACATATAATTTATCAATAGTTGCAATTGTGACAAAAAAATTTATTATGTTACTTAATCACGTGTATATATTAATATACTATTTTCTGTGTTTAATATAAGAGTTAAATAACTAATTTGTAAAAATTAAAAAAAATAGTTAAATTAATTATTTGTAATAAATATGTGTTGGCTTCTTTAAATTACTTATTCAACTCAGCCATATACACTAAAAAGTACATTTGAGTGAAAATATTTTATAATTAATGTGAATATTTTTAAAAACACATTATAAATTTAAGAAACAGAATGGTTTGGAATCTTATATTTAAACTAGCTAATTAGTTTTTATATTTAGAGCGATAGTCTTACTTTTAATCTCTCACTTAGTAATGCTTGTGATGCATGGAAAATAGGAAAGAATGTTTGCTGCTCTTGTATCTGTAATTTTGCATCCCCTGAATAAGAGCAAAAAAGAAAAAATTAAAAACAAAGTATTTTTTATATTAAGAAACAATCACACTGAATAAAAAGGAACATATACAGCAGAATGTTATTTTCCCAACCTACTGTATATTGCTTATAAAGGATGATATTCCAGTTATTTAGAATTTTAACAATTATTTAATTTTTTTACCTGATAACAGATATAAAATACATCATGCGGGTTTAGTCCCCAAATACAATACAGTGTCTATAAATGATATTAGTTAACACGCAGCAATCATTGTGAGGGAAAAGTTATACAACCGAGAGAGTCTGCTTTGGATTCTTCTTTCTCTGTCTTTGATTCCAATCCTCGGCTAATTGTGTGATTCTCTCAACTTCTGGGAATTTCTGTTTTTCCCTCGATTGGTTGGGTCTAGGTGCGCTTCCCTTCCAATCGATTCAATTTATTACCATGGCTACGATCGGGCACAACAATCTCAACGCCAAATTGGTGAGTTTGATTTTGATTCCTTCTTATTTCTTTGTTTTTGTTTCCTTCCCAGGTTTGAGGTTATAATACTCTCAATTGATGATCAGGTTCTCCTAGGTGATATGGGTGCCGGAAAGTCCAGCCTGGTTTTGCGATTTGTCAAGGGTCAATTTCTTGAATTCCAGGTTATTTTACATCATCATTTATTTGGACCTTCTCTTGAAGATTTTGCTGCTTGTATTTGGGTTAGGTGTGCTTGAAATTTTACTTAAGAAAAGCTGGCTATACTGATAAGCTGAAAATATTCTGTGAATCAGATGTCTTTCTGCGTGGACAAACAATTTTTTGTCATTTTGAATTTAGCTCGTTTGAGTGAAGTTCAACTGACTTTTTTCTCGGATAAAATTATAATGTGAATTTAAGTTTTATCAGCGATGTGCTGTTTTAGTTAGAATGTTTCTAAAATCCATTATTTAGAAGGCGAGAATCGTTTCTGCTGATCACAGAAAGCACAGGTTTGGATGCTTTTTCCCTTATACCCAGTAATCTTTGATACTCTAAGGCAATGTGTGGTGGGCAGAAAAATATTTTCTAGGAAGGAAATGTGAAAGAAAATAGGATAGGTGTATTTCTCATTTCCTTTCTAGAAAACACTTTCCAAACAGTGCATAAAGAAACAAAGGGGGGAAAACGATTGTGTTTGATCTTCTATTTACGACAATATCCATGTTGGCGGTTTTCGTTCCCATGTATGCTAGTTTGTGCCAAAGCCTAAGAGATAGACTAATTAAGTCTCTGTTGCTGAGTTTATGGTTTATTGTTAGGACAGGAATCAACAATAGGGGCAGCCTTCTTTTCACAGACATTGGCGGTTAATGATGCAACTGTTAAATTTGAAATTTGGGACACTGCTGGACAGGAGAGGTACCACAGCTTGGCTCCTATGTATTACAGAGGCGCTGCTGCTGCCATCATTGTCTATGATATTACCAGCGCAGTATGATATCTCTCCCTCATCATATTTTGACTGTATTGAAGTAGGCCAATGAAGCCTATTTCATAGGCTGTTTGTGCGATGTGTCATTGGAGTTTTTGAGGCAAATGGTCATTGGTTTTTGCATCATGAAGTAGTGTCCCGTTTTTGGAATATACTTTTCGACATCTTTCATGAGCGTTGTTGGATTTGGTGTGGGTTGGATGTTGATCTCTTGTCTTGCTTTGCTAAACTATGCTTTTGAGTTTTTTATTCCCTTTGTGCCCCAAGGTTTCATATAATAGGTTTCATATTGTATTTGAAGGATTCATTTACACGTGCAAGGAAGTGGGTCCAAGAACTTCAAAAACAAGGTATTTGCTGATTTCCTTTTTCTACGAATGTTTGATATGAATAGATTACTGCGACATAATAGATGCTTATTAAATATATAGAATGAAAAAGTAGATCCAAAAATGTATGTTTTGATTACTAGTTTCATCCCACTGTTAATCCTTAACTTTAATACCTTGTTACTTGGTTCTTACTGTTTTCAAACTTGTAATTGAGTCCCTGCCATGACAACCTACGGCAAATGTGTTGATAGGTTGTTGTGATTGTAGTCTATTACGAGAATTAGAAGTAGTTGTTGGCTAAATTAAGTGTTGCAATGACTGATTGGCATAGAATATTAAAACCTACAATGCTGTAAGTTCATGGGACTTATCAAGTGATAAAGTGATAAGTAGAATATCATTCTCATGAGGACTTGGTTCAACAACCTGATTTAGCATTAATTTAATAAGTTCACTTAATTTGAGTAAGGCATGACTTGAACAATGATTAAAGGAGAATAAAATCTAGCTACAAAATTAAATCTAAGCCTCGATTACTTTTTCATGTCTCACTAGTAATAGGTGCCGAATTTTCATTTGTGCCATTGATATTCCACATCTCCAAGCCTTGATCCGCCTCCATTTGGGTTGCAAGCCTCCTCTCAAGTCGAAAATAAAGAAAAGCCTTGAATTATATGAGGAAACCCTCAAAATCATGTCCAAGTGAAGCTGTTCATTTGTGACACCAAAGACTATGGTCATTATTTTCTTGTTATTGTCTTACTGAGCTGCGGCACCACAATGTTGGTGCTAATGCACCAGGGACCACTCCTCAATGTCTTCCATCTCTACAAAATACCGCATGAACACCAATGAAAAATAATATTTGATTGCTTTAAATCAGTTTTTACTCAATTCCCTCCATATTTACCAATAATTCACAAAAATAGCAATGAGCCCAGTTCTATAGAAAAGGAATTAAAAGATCTCCAAAGTGTAATGATGACTCCGCAAATAACTCCTAAAAATATATCAAATATCACAAAATATGGGGAGTCATCAATGATGTAGTTTTGCGACTAGCTAGATGGCCTCTTTACAGCCTCAATTCACCATCAAAGTCCAAAGAATCTAGGCTTGGGAGTTTGAGAGTCTCGGCAGTAGGATTGCAGAGCCTGCCGGGTCATCGTATGTGTCATTGGATTTCTAATCATTGTCATAGTGGATACCCAATTACAAGATTCAGAAACTATGAGGATTTGATTTCAAACTTTCGAAATATAAGGAACATTTTGAATTTGTGATGAAACTATAGGGACTTACAAAGTAAATGAATCAAATATCTAATGTACGTTTATAAACCCGGGGATGAACTAATAGCCCTTACAAATAAGGCAATCTTGTCTACGTATTTTCACAATGCTTTGTGAAATTCTTTAATCTGTCTTACTTTTGATCTAGGTGAACCCAAATATGGGGGAAAGTATAGATTAGTCGTTTTGTTCCGTGGCAGTGATCTAGAATGGATGGTTAGGGTGCGAAAGTTGATGAGAATGAGAGAGAGAATGGGCTGTTTTAAGGGAAGCTACAAATAAGCCCACAATGATAGCCTAATCACAACGTTAGACAAAAAAGACAAGAAAGAAAAAAGGGAACTCTAACAAATGTATGGTATTAGTTATTATTTAAAACTAATGCCTAAAGACCGAAACCCCCCCCCCCCAAAAAAAAAATAATGCCTAAAGACGTGCTGTCACCTAATGTGTATTATCTTCTTCAATTTCTCCCTGCGTTATTTTCTGACGTGTGTTTTCCTCAAATTCCCACTTTCTAAGGCATTAAATAATATGTAATTTACCTATATATACATACATATACATATATATATATATATATGCTTCTGATGCTTCACTATCACCGATCTTCTATGACTCCTACATTATGGAATTGGTCACAGGTGTTATGACTCGAGAAATAACAGTGGGCAGATTCCCTTGTAGTTTTAATTTAAAGTTGATATCCTCTTGATAAGATCCAACCCTTTAGGCCTTACTTTCGGAGTATGGGGTCTAGGTCCGCATAAGTAGAAATTTAATGAATGAATTCAATTTGGTTGTTGCAGGGAACCCTAATATGGTTATGGCTCTTGCTGGTAACAAAGCTGACCTGGAAGATAAGAGGCAAGTGACAGCTGAAGTAAGTATTACTATTTTTGGCTATTCCTATCAGGATGTATGATCTTATTAATTAAGAATTCTATTTCCTTTCACAATCTGATCGAGCTGCAATTCTGGTGATACGTTATAGCAGTATGCTTATACTCTTCTTTCATGATTGGGCAATTTCTTTATTCACCAGCTCATTATTTCTAATATTGGCATTGCAGGAGGCCCGTGTATATGCTGAGGAAAATGGTCTCTTTTTCATGGAGACCTCTGCCAAAACTGCAGCCAATGTAAATGATATATTTTATGAAATAGGTATGGTTCCTTTCCTATCCTGTGTTTTCGGCTGCTTAATGAGGATGATTTATAATTCTAATGCGACTCGTGTTTGGTTTGCTTCCTTTATTGAATTGCATGAAGATAATTTAGAAGGGGAGACGTGTCTTTCCTCTAGAGAGAAGTCTGCCCCTAGTTTGTGGAGCAGGATATTTTTCGTATTTCCAATATTTTGGCTTGGATTGAAGTTGGATGTTTTTCAGGCCGGGGTTTGCTGAAGTTTAAACTGTAATGATATAAATAGTTAAATACCCATGTGATTGGTTAGCGACTGTGAAACTGACATGTTTATGAGTTGTAACACTTGTTAATGTCAAAATAAATATACTTTTAGCTAAAGGCCTTGTTAAGCCTAATGGCATGAAAGCTTCTTTGTTAATGAAAAGTCACTATTTCGATCCCACTTACAAACTGAGGCTTGTTAGTGTCTATTACTCTAACTAAAAAAATAAATACATGAATAAATATGCCTTTTGTGGGCTGTCTCTGGACTCGCATGATCTGCAAGCATATATTGGCCTGCTGGCTACTGCCATCGGTTTGGTGATAATATTCGTATTTCTCTTACATGGAGCTTTTTGTTTGGAATTATTTTACGTTTTATGCCATGACCGGTGAATTCTGTTGACAGCCAAGAGATTGCCGAGGGCTCAGCCTGCTCAAAATCCGGCAGGGATGGTTCTTGTGGACAGACACCCAGAAGGATCAAGAGCTTCATCGTCATGTTGTTCGTGAGTCGTGCGATTTGCGTCCTCGTCGTCCCCGGGCAAATTAAACACGCGTGCTTGATGTGGTTGGTCTTTGGTGGTGGTACTGTTATTTGGAGCTCTCTATCAAAGAGAAAATTGCAACTAACACATGCGCCGATGCTCTATCCTATCATGCTCTCTCCACACACTTTTGTCTCCATCTCATGTGCTCCAGGAGTCAGGAGCCGCCTACCTACTAACCTCCAACTTATTTTGTAATTTCCTTGCTGTTTACCTTTTGTTATTAAAAACAGAAAAAAGTGAAACTTTATGAAGCAGGATATAAGCTGGGATATGCGGTGGGTGCCGTTGGTTGAACAGTATCTTGAGGGAAATTATGCGTTGATGTTTAAGCTTCCTCGCATAGTCTTAACAACGTCGGTTAGCTTCTTCGTACCCAACACCATTTCTCTTATTGTTGCCCAAACCTTCATATGTTTCATTTATTTTAAAATTTAGGAGTTCACGCTGCTTTTAAAAATTCGGTGGTCAGAAGTGATTTTTAACTGGTTGCTTTCATGTTATATTTTTATATTATATGGATAATAAGTATATGATAATTTAGTAAGCATGTTGTCAAGTGAAAGGAATAATGTCATAGGACGAGTAAGCGTGGGACCTGCTGTTAAAAAAAATGATTGAAAATTGTTTAAAGTGGTTTGAGCATGCATGTATAGAGAAGGATGTTAGAGACAACGGTAAAAAAAAAAAAAAGAGATAGTATGAAGTGGAGAAAAATCAAAGAGCACATATTAAGCGGGATATTTTGATTGACAATATACTACCTCTAGAACTGAGTATGAGAAGCTAGTTCATTAATTTGAGTAGATTAAAAAAAAAAACTTAGTTGTTTGTAATAAATAGATGTCTTTCTTAAAATATTTTTGCTAATCAACTATATTGACTAGAAGTTTAGAACTACCATTATCATAAAGATTATCTCAAAAAAAAGTTAATAAATATGAAAAATAAAATGTATTAGATTTTATATTTATGATTAAAATAAAAGTCAAGCGAAAGGAGTAAATGTCATGGGACGAGTAAGCGTGGACCTACTGTTAAAAAAAATGTTTGAAAATTGTTTAAAGTGGTTCGAGCATGCATGTATAGAGAAGCATGTTAGGGACACCGGTAAAAAAAAGTAGATTAGATAGTATGAAGTGGAGAAAAATCAAGGAGCACATATTAAGCGGAATATTTTGATTAACAATATACTCCTCCGGTCCTTAATATAAGATCTATTTAACTAATTTGATTAAATTAAAAAAGTTAAGTAAGTTAGTTAATTATAAGAAATGTAACACGTTTTTCCTAAAATACCATAATCATCTTTCTTAATACCCTCTCTCCCCCTTCTACTTGATTATGGTTGAGGGAGTATTCATAGGGGTAATTTAGAGAACATTGATAAATATGAGAAATGGGTCTTATATTTATGACTAAAACCAACTCAACAATTGGGTCCTATATTAAGGACCGGAGGAGTACTACTTTTGAAATTTAGTATGAGAATTAGTTGACTAATTTGAGTAAATTAAGAAAACGAGTTAAGTTAGTTATTTGTAATAAACAGGTATTGTTTTTCTTAAAATATTCTTGTTAATCAACTATATTGGTTAGAATTATCATTATTATAGGGATTATCTTGAAAAAAAAAAGTAGATAAATATGAGAAACAAAATATATTAGATTTTATATTTAGAATTAAAATAAAATTCAAACGAATTCTTATATTAAAAACCGGAAGTAACATATATATACACAAAGATTTGGTCATTGATTCAACACAGTGATTTATGTGAGAGGTGTGAGTAAATTGCGACCATGATAGATTTGGCCGCTGGATGCTTCCCTCTTCCGTTACCAGACGATGCAATCAAAGGAGGTGCACCTTGCAGAATAGGCTCGGGAAGATGGTGGATGGTTTTATCTCTTTGGCCTTTTCTGTTTTGTTTTTTTGAGTTTATGGACTTATTCCCACTTTGCCTTATTATGATATCGTCTTTTCCTTATCTTTGAAAAAGAAAATCAGATTTGTCACATACCATGAACTGTGGAGGAAGAAAAAAGAGAGCAAATTATCTCGATCAACTCTTAAATTTTGTGTTTTAAGACACGGTAGGACTCCGGATAGTCGCTGTGCTTTTCAGCTTTAAACCCTTTGAAGTTTTTTGACCAGCAAAACAATTTGAAGTTGCTATCATTTATTCATGATTTTTTATAGCATCTCTTACCGGTTGGCGCACCCCTTTATCAATTATATGCAATATATATTTAATTATGTGGAAATAGTTTCTACTCAGAGGACGTGTTTGATTCATATTTAGCGGGTACAATGTATTTTTAACTACGTGTAAAAATTTTCAAAAGAAAAAATATTTATATACTATATCCGGTTCTTAATATAAGAGTTAATTGACTAATTTGAATAGATTAAGAAAATTTGTTAAGTTAGTTATTTGTAATAAATAGATGTTATCTTCCCTAAAATATTATTGCTAATCATATGAATTAGTTAGAACTGTTATTTGATAGAACATTTAACATACATAACTATTACAAGCACTACTTTAAAAAAAACAGAGAGAGATAAAGTAAATTGAAATATTATATTTAAGACTAAATTGAATATTAAACTAATTTATATGTTAAGAAATAGAGGTAGTATAATTCAAAATACATTGCATATGTGTGAAAAAGAATAGCATTCGCTGAAGGTAAGTTGCACCAGCCCGTTTTCGATATTTTTGGGTAATAAAATTTGGGGGGAAAATTTAGATTAAATTACTTATATTCAGTGTATTAATTTTTCAAATCACAAGTGGTTGTGTATCTTTTTTTTTTTAATTTCATGTAGATTTTTAATATAATGATATTAAATACTAATATTTTAAAAATATGATACATTGTCATATATAATTAAAAAACTTGATATAATGGATATGAGCAAATTGCCCATAAAATTTTAATTGTATATATGTTTGTTTTGTTTTGTTTTGTTTTATTAGTTTCCTTTCATGAAACAGTATAAAAAAGTAACGCTGAAGATTGTCGCCGTTAGAACTTTTGAGTTGATAGCGATAGATGAATACTACTTGAGTTTAACCAACCGAGTCACGAGTTGGAAACTGCACTCGGCGCCCGATTCGCTTGGGCTCAGATTCTGAAGGCCCACTTATCCAGAAGTGCTCACAAAATCTAACTGTCGATCTCCATTGGCCGATTCATGATCCTTCTTTTGTGTGGATAAATATCGTTATGGCTAACCACAACCACAACGTGGTTTCGAATCACGATCACCAATTTTCATTATTAGAAGAATTGTTCAAGAGTGACAGTAACTTGAATAAGATTATTTTAAATATAAAAATATATGCAGCCGGCCAAAAAGAATGATTAAATCGCATGAATAATTTTCAAAAAATTTTAATATGTGATTTTTTTTTTTTAAGCACAGATATCCTCTCAATTAAGACAGTCTGATCTGAGTCATTATAAAGTACTACTCCGTCTCTAATTATAAAAACCTTTTGGCCAAATTATGTTTTTTAAGAAAACAGTTAAAAGCAATTAATATATAACAAATATGATTTTTTTTAAATATACCCCTAATAAATGTAAAAGAGTAATAATGAGATAAATAGAGAGAGAATGTAATATATAAAATTTATCAATGCATTAAATATTCAGACAAACTCAAAAAGGACCTTATAAAAAGAAACAAATCCATTAAAAAAAAGATCTTATAATTAGGAAAGGATGGAGTATTAAATATATGCATTTGTCTTAATAAAAATTTAAATCTTAGTTTGTTATGTTTGGAGGGAGTAACTTCTCCCGCTAAATCTAACTCTGCTAGTAATATGTGGAATTATTGTTAGGGCTCATAGTCCTTCTCAGCTCCCAACAAAAAACAAATAATGTACAAAGATCAGATTGTCATGATAATAAATGTCCTAATAATAAGTGACGAGGGCTTGAAAAACTCGTGCGTCTCATCCTTCTCAATTACTACTTCTATGGTGGCTTTCTACGCGCGTAAGTGAAGAGCAAGCTTTTTTTTTCTTTTTACCCACGATCTAAGAACAGGATACCTAATACTTGATCTATTGAGACCTGTCCCTATAAGCACAGGAGCATGACAAGCAAGTTTTTTTTTTTTTCTGGCCCAATAAGTAGAAATCTCTCAGTTTTACTTTGCTGTGGTGATACCTTCCCCGGTACAGTGACTAAAGCCACAACAAAATGACACTTCTAAGAATTAAAGCTTTTTTTTTTTTGTGAGAGAGTCCGACTTTTTTACCGGCTAAACTTACGGACGAGGGGGTTGAAGAGTAAGCTTTTGGTAAGGGCTTGATTATAATTTATAAATATGACGGAAGAAGGGGCGGGGGGCCCACGTTGGATTGGCAGGTGTTGGACCCCATGTCTGGGTGGGTTAGGGTACGGGTAAGGTATCTTCGGCCGACCCGTACCCACAATCCAATGGTCATTTTATGCTAAAAAAAGTTATTAAAGTTTGGAGATCAAATTAACACTTAAACAACCAAAAATTTATGGTTATCACTTTCATTATCTAACATTCACACCTTTTTAGAATTTACAGCTACCGATTTCACCACTTATTATTAGGACATTTATTATCATGACAATTTGATCTTCGTACATTATTTGTTTTTTTGACAATAATTCCACACACTTTTTTAGAATTTGCTGACCATTTTTGGAAATCAAAAATTTATTTTAAGGGCATGTTTGGACAGCAATTTTGTTGTTCCAAGTGAGCTTTTTCCATTAGTTTGTTTAGGTGTTATCTCATCGTTCTAAAAGTCCATTTGAAACCGGTAAATGCCCGCTTGGGAAGAGTTTGATTTTTATCCGCCTTTCTCACATTTCTTACCCTTGATCCAACGACCAACGTATATGCGACATCCATAATGTTAAAATCACTCAAATATTTTTTTTTCCCTGTCAAGATATATTTAACTGTAGAACCAGTTTAGATGCTGATCCCAAATGTATTTATTAAAAAATTAAAGCTAATTATTATATTATTTTTTGATACACTAATTGCATTTTGTACATTACACTCGCACATGTGAAGTGGTGCCTAATTAATTTGCACTTCAAAATAAATTGTATATTTAGAATCGAAGAATTATATACACATGGACTAGTTGTATAGCCCGCTGATCATTAATATTTTAAAATAAAAAAGACATTTAAAAGCTTAAATACGTATCCATAGGACAAGCGGGGTTTAAGGTTGTTTTACTCAAATAAAAACTACTTAAAATAAGTACATACTTGCTACATAGCATCTCTCCCAATTACAGAGTATGTACACAAACACACAGAACTTTGTTGGGCTCTTTTACCCTCTTTCCATTGTTTTCCCAAGAAAAAGGACCTGAGTGATTCGATTCAAAGACGGGAAAGAGCCAAAACCTGTTCGTTGTAATGACCACCTTCATTATTATTGTTGTTATTTCGATCAACCCGTGCAGAGCTAGACGACGTCGTCTTTACATCTTCGGGCACAACGAACGCCTTCGCATTCTCCCTCAATTCAAACTTGAGAATCTTACCCGTTGAGGTCTTTGGCAGCTCGTCCATGAACCTGACGACCTTCGGAACCATGAAGTGTGACATCCTCTTCCTGCAATACCCAATCATATCACTCTCCGTGACGTCGTCGTCATCGCTGGTCTTCTTCCCTGTTTCATTCTTCTTCAGAGCTATGAAGGCGCAGGGGCTTTCTCCCCACTTCGGGTGAGGCATTGCCACCACCGCAGCTTCCGACACCCTCGGATGGTTGTAAAGAACATTCTCCACCTCGACACTGCTAATGTTTTCTCCGCCGGAGATAATCACATCCTTGGACCTGTCTTTGATCTCTAAATAACCATCTGGGTGTACGACCCCGACATCCCCTGTTCTGAACCACCCATTTTGGAACACTTTGGATGTTTCTTTTGGATCCTTGTAATAGCCCTTCATGATGCCACTCCCTCTCAGCACTATCTCTCCCATCGTCTTCCCGTCTCTGGGCACGCTCTCCATCGTCTCCAGATTCTTCACGTCAACATTTGCAAGCGTTAATATGCTAACCCCTTGACGAGCTTTCAGCTTCGATTGTTCCTCTTTCGGCAAATCATTCCACTTTTTATCCCACTCGCACACAAGCGCCGGTCCAGTGGCTTCCGTAAGGCCGTAGGCATGCGTGACGTGGAACCCGAGCGGCTCTATCTGTTGGAGCAGCGCCGCCGGGGGAGGCGCGCCTCCGGTGAGGATCTCGACTGTCGAGGTGAGGCGGTGGCGCTCGGCTGGTTTAGCCTGGAGGATGATGTTGAAGATGATGGGCGCACAGCACATGTGAGTTACGTTGTGAAGGGCTATGTTCTTGAAGATTTGCAAGGCCGTGATGTTGCGAAGGCAGACATTGGTGCCGCCACGCGCCGCCACCCCCCAAGTAAAGGTCCAGCCGTTACAGTGGAACATAGGCAGGGTCCACAGGTAGACTGGTGCCGTGGGAACCTCCCAGCATAGGATCAAGCTGAGCGTACTGAGGTAAGCTCCTCTGTGACTGTAAACGACGCCTTTTGGTGCAGAGGTGGTGCCAGAGGTGTAGTTAAGGGCAATTGGGGCCCACTCATCGTGAGGCTCGATGGGGACGAAGGTGGGGTCGCCACGGCGGATAAGGAGCTCGTAGTCGAGCTCGTTCATGCGGATGCCAGTGGGAGAGTTGAGGTCGTCAATGACGACGACGAGCGGCAAAGAGGAATAGCCGCCGTTAGATTCCATGAGGATTCTAAGTGCTTCGCCAGCCTTGGGAACGTACTCGTAGTCCACGAAGAAGACTTTCGCTTCGGAATGCTTGAGGATGGTGGCTATGTTGTTGGCATCAAGACGAGTGTTTATTGCGTTCAACACAGCTCCCGCCATAGGCACCGCGAAGTGCATCTCGTACATGGCCGGAATGTTGGGCGCCAACACCGACACCTGTTACACAAATAATTGGACAGCCACGTAGTTATTAGAGGATGTCAAGTACCGTACACAAAAAACAAAGATTCCATCATGCCTGTGTATACGGAAACTTACGACGTCGTGGGTGGCGACGTGGAGGGAGCGGAGGGAGGAGGCGAGGCGGCAGCAACGGTCGTATGTCTGAGACCAAGTGAAAGAGGCTCCGTCGTAGACGAGGGAGGTTCTGTCAGCATAAGAGGAAGCAGCTCTGGCGAGGAAAGTGAGAGGGGTGAGTGGGGTATAGTTCGCTTGGCACTTTGGAAGATTCTCCATTGAGTCACCTTCTTCTTCTCCAGCCAATTCGTCACAGTGAAGAACAGAGGTGACAAACTAAAGATGAACAGAACCGGAGAGAGGGAGGGAAGGAAAGATATATGAAAGGGTCGTTTTGTGTGGTGAATGGGTTCGCTGTGAATCAGAGGATTGGTTTATGTATATGTATATATAGAGGACTGGGGGGAGTGGGATTGCTTATGCGAAAGCCAGGCTATGTAAGGGCCATTTATAGGGGAAGAAATAAGAGAAGCTGCGGTGAAGTTTGAGTGTGGAAGGAGTTGCATTGGAAATTGCGTTGTGAGTCCCCCTCCTGCTGCTGTGTGCATTGTTAAAAGACCGTTTGACCCGTTTTTTAAAAATTTGTAATGTAATCCCACAAAAAATTATTTTTTAAAATTTTTAATTTTTAAATTAAGAATGATTATAAAAATATATTCTCGTTTGTTTTTTAAATACTGTCAATCATTATTAAAGGACAGTAAATAAAATTAATTTAATATTTAAATTTTTTTTTAAAAAAATTTCTATTGGGTCGGGTCATTTACAGTGTTGGCCCCCCGGTCCCATCCGATATCACATCGTCTCTCTCTCCTGCTTAGCGTAACATTATGGCCCTGCTTTCTCTTAACCCTGTGCCTCGAACAAAAAATTAGGATGCACAGAAAATGAAGACAAGAGGGACCGGGAAAAAAAAAAAAGGAGAGGAGGGAGGTAGCTAAATTCACACGGACAATAACAATTTTATACTCCCTCCGTTTCTTATTATAAGAGACATTTGATACTTATGGCATGTTCTTATATATAAGAGACACTTAAAAGTTGTCTCTGTTTTTTTGTGTTGATTTCCTATTTTACCCATATTTATTGTTTTCAACTCACACTCTCTCTCCCTCCCACTTTTCTTTCTTTCAATAATTTAATTGTTCTCTCTCATGCTCTCTCTCCTTATTAATGAGGGCATTTTTGAGAAAAAATTATATTTTTTACACATTAATTGTTCTTAACTAATTTTAACTGTTTTTTTTATCAACGTAATTCGGTTATTTGTCTCTTATAATAAGGAACGGAGGGAGTAGTTCGTAGAAAAATATTTATAAATAGAAAAATTACTATTCCATCATATTATTTATAAATAATTTGCATACTATGTTACTAATTATCTTATCCGATTTTATTGTTTTATTTTTAAATATCTTTTAGAGAATGATTCCAAAACTTTTGAAATAATTAATAAAATCGAAAATACAAAGCATTACATAAGAAGCAGTGCACATGGGTCCCAAAATTGATAAGAAAATGTGGAAAAATGATGGGCAGCAAATCTCCAAAATCTCCCCCATCTTTTGAGAGAAAAGCTGGGGAAATATGCATGTCTCATCACTTGTTATTTATTCCGGACTTGTCTCCCTTGTTAAGCAGATGGTAAAACTGTCGTAATATTTTTTTAAAAAAAATATGGGTATTTTTTTGACCTCACTATTAGCAAAACAAGAATATAAATAAAAAAATTAAACTTGGGTTTATATATTCATATTGATGAGTAATAAACATGTTAAAGTTGCATTTAGTATATAAGTAGTTGATTTGGCCAACAGTTCATATTAGTATGTCCTTTCACATTTTGGGCCCAAGTGTGAAGTTTGAACAGGGTCAGTCAGTGCGTACAGTGCCTTTGATTACAAAATGTCTTCTTGGTCTTTACATTCAACAACCACTGACAAGGAGAGCTTACCTTTATTGTTTGGAGAAATAGCCTTAACACTCCCATGAAGAGCCATTAATATATAGTTTTTTTTTTCTTTTTTCCCTTTTTGTGAGGCTTGGCTTGTGTTATTTTTATGTTTTAATTAATTAATCAATTAATTACTTCTATACTTGACAATTATAATCCGTCAGAAATTTTAATTTAACCACTATAATTAATTTAATTATTGAAACAGACTCATATATATAGTTAAATCTTTTTATCAGTTATTATGCCTCTTTTAATGTGGATATAGCAAATATAAAAAGGATGACTCGGCAAATTATTTTCTAATTCATTTGTTTACCTCCCGAATAAGGAGATACATAGAACTAGTTTTAGTGTTCATCATAGTGATAAATATGCTTATCATCGTAGTGAAGTTCAAATCACTTAAAATCAGTTTTAATAGTTTAGATTTAAAATTTTTAACTAATAAATTTTAAATAAAAATTTAGTTTTTAAAAAACTTACAGTTAAGATATTATATTTATTTTGGATTATATACCTATTAAAAAAAATTTTTACAAAATAAAAATATTAAATATTAAATCTGAGTTATCTATATAAAATTTAAATGGTAAAAATTTGATAAGTACATAATATTTATTATTGTGAGGAGTAGGGAAACTCGTTCCAAACAGAGAAAGAGAGAGTCTTCCTCACACATGCACAAAAAAACTCAGACGTATTTCTTTAACATCTCAGCTCTGACGTTTTTCGTTACTACGAGGTTAGAGTTAAGTATTTTGTACTCGTATGTTTGCTTTTACCTAGGCCTAATAATTAAAAAAAAAAAAGTCATTCATAGTGGCTTTTTACTGTTAAGTTTGATAATTGAGCGATAGCACTAAATAAATTAAACGAAGCATGTCAATTTTCTCACTGATATTCCGCTTGCATTATTATTTGTTTTATTTTATTGACCAATCATTGTTATTTATTTTCAAGTCATTTTGATATATTGTCAATTTCCCTCCACTAGTGTTTGTTTTCTTTTTTCCATATCAAAAAGTCATTTCTAATTTTCCATATCTTTTTAGGTTCTGATCAGTCAAGTCGTTATTCAAATGTTAATTAATGCCTTCCCCTTTCCCTTTCGATAAGTGTGTGGCAGAATTTCCAGGAAGTTGTGGTCCTTTTTTTTTTTCCAATGAAATTGTTGTCGTCTTATCTGTGTTTCTTGCACAGCAGGTTAATTAACTAACTTTGTTTTTGTTTTTCTTTCCGGAATTTCTTTTTAGTCCTTAATTTTCAAGGAATTTCATTCAAATTGATCAAACTTTGGAACGGGTCTAGTCTTGTTGAATATTGGACCGTGACTATATAAATAAATCATAGAAGTTTGAGGGTCTTGCAGATGTACTCTTCTCATCCTATTTATAAGACACTTCTAATATATTTAACATAGAGCAGGAAAAATTTTAAACTTCATTAATTTTTATTTAAAATTTAATAACTTTTCAACTTTATTCTTATTTAATATACATTATACCTCATGTAAACAAAATCAACACAATAATAAATGAGGAGTAAAATTGTACATCAATACAAACCTATAAATAGAAAAAAAAAATATCTTTTTTCTCTGTCTTATAAATAGTATCAGGGGAGTATAGATCAATTTAATTTGTGGGACCACAACCACGTTACGGAAAGTTGGAAAGAAAGCCATGCATGCCTCTTGACTAAAAACCAATTGGAAGGAATGGGATGGGAACTAGTAGTGGCGTTTGTTGAATATACTTTCTAAGAAATTGGTTTGTAATTTCCATGAAGCTCTCGAAGTGGGTAAATTTTTCCATAAATTATTGTTGATGTTCCTTTTGTTTATTTTCTTTCTCGTTTGCTTTCTCTTTACTCTTAGTCTTCCCTTTTCTTTCTTTGTTCCTTTTTTCCACTTCTTCCCACTATTTTCTCTTCCTTTGTTTATTCTCTTCTAGATGGCATAAGACATTTATTCCTGTTTATTATGTAACTGTATAATTTTTTTTAATTTTACAGTATAATTGGAATAATCCAGGGACTAGCGTATGTAAACAAAAAAAAAAATACTCTTGGTCCTTAATATAAGACCTAATTATTGAGTTGATTTTGATCGTAAATATAAAACATATTTCTTATACTTATCATTTTTTTAAATTACTCATATGAATACTCTCTCAACCATAATCAAATAGAAAAGCAATGGAGGATATTAAGGAAGATGATTATAATGTTTTAGGAAAAACATTATATTTCTGATAATTAACTAACTTATATAACTTTCTTAATTTAATTAAAGTAATTAAATAGGTCTTATATTAAGGATCGGAAAAGTATTATACTTGATTTGAGAACCATTTTTGAAAAGCTAATACATGTTAACAAGTTGAGAGGGGGTAATGAATATAAGGTGTCGCTGCTATGTAGAATTTGTCATGCTTGATGGTTAAGTAAGCAAGCAAAACAAATACCACTTCCAGCCCTTAATATAAGACATTATTTTTTTATTCTAAGTATAAGACTCCAATCCACTTTATCTCTTATATTTAAATGTAGTTTTTCTAATAATGGTAGTTCTAACCAGTACACTTATTAACAATGATGTTTTATGAAAGATAACACATATTTACTACAAATAACTAACTTAACTTATTTTCTTAATTTCTTCAAATTAGTCAATTAGCTCTTATAATTAGGATCGGAGGTAGTGTTTGATAATTATTATACAGATAATTAATTAACTAGAAAATTAAAGAAATCTTCATGAACGTCGCTAGCCTTTCCTGTTATTCCTCTGGTATTGTTTCTGGTCTTTTTCATTACTTCCGTTGTCAAATTTAAACAAGGATATTTTTCAACCATTCTGGTAGAATTATCAGGAATTCCTAAAGGCCTCAGATTTAATTAGGATGTGGAATTCAAGAAAGTTAATACACTAACATGTGTAACGACTTTATGAAATCTTAGTATCAAGAAAGAAATACCAGAGAAGGCATCATTTGATAATTATTCTTGATGATAATAAAGAGATCATAATATTGTTAGATTGGATAATTATAAATTACCATGTACTTAAAAAAGCCAATAGGGCTTTACTTGTCGCCCGGTCCGAATCCGGACTAGTCGATCGCTCGGGTACAACTGGCTCAAAGAGGCTGGGGCCCAGAAAAGGCGCGGTTGGATACCGGATAGTTTATATCAAAAAAAAAAAAGCCAATACTTACAAGCCATCACACACACACTTATTATGTTGATGCTTGCTCTAAGACGATGGACTTGCTTCCTAAAGATGTGAGAAACTCTTAACATTTGTATAGTAAGGTTTTTTTTTTGGTAACAGTATATTAAGCTTTATATTCCTAAATTCTAGCTTTTGTTGAATCAGTACATTAATATAATTTTTTTAATATGCAAAATCTAAAAAAGGTTACAATATTTACAACGATTAAATAATTGAGTAGTAGCAATTTATTATTTAATTCTTATTTA